GGTCCCGTCCCCCCCGCGGTCCCGAGAACGAGCACGGGCCCCGAGAGCCTGGGGCAGGGAGCACGCGGTACTCTCCCCCTCCCCCCCGCCTTGCAGTAGCCACGCGCCCCACCGCGGAGCCCGGGCACCATGGGCGGCTGCAGGGCTCGGCTGCTCCCCGGTCCATGCTCGGGCGGGAGGCTAAAGCGCCCTCGGCCTCCGCAGGGCTCCCCGGGGGGCCCCGCTTCGCCCCAGTGTAAATGTGCCTCGCGCCCGTTTTGCTCCAGCCCGCTCTGTGCCTGCGCCCGCGGGTCTGTCCCGCACGTGGGGTGACTCAGCCGGGGCCAGGCCGAGCTGGGGGGGTCTGTACTGCAGTGAAACTGCCCCCCCTGCTCCGAGTGTGCTGGTTATTGCTTTTAATTCGGTGTAGGAGTGTGTTGAAGTGCACGGGATGTGAGACCCCGGTGTGAGAAACCAGCCCGCAGCCGCGATCTCCCAACTAATGTGGGACCTGTTGCAGAGCTCTCACAATCAGCCTGATTCTGAGAGAGGTGATGGGTTGGCTATTCTGACGCAGGCTTTGTCTACACTAGAAAGTTTAAAGAGCAGCTGAGGGCAGCACTTTAGTGCTGAAGTGTAGCTGCAGGCGGAGCCCTGAGAGCTCTCTCAGTGCACTAGGGCAGGGCTACTCAACTTTGGGAGCCCCGGGGGGCCAAAATGATACTTTGCATATGCATGCAAATAGCTTCTTTCACACTGACGGGCATGAATACAAAGATTAAGGCAAGACTACACAACACGCAGGCCCCATTAAAGTCAGTTCTGCTGCTATTCATAAAATGCAATATTTACCCCATTTCCACCCATATGACCAAGGCTTGACAAATAATACAATCTACTTGCCCCCGGAAGAGCTGGGTTTGAGCAATCAGCACCGTGGTTCGGCGAGCCCTGCATATGACAGCACTTTTAATGAGCAATGACAGTCCAGGAATGTAACTACTAAAACACATAGCAACAGAAGACCATTATATTGACTCGTCATTGTAGTGCGTGTTCCCGGTGGAGGCCATGTTCAAAGGATCCCACCCGCAGGCTGTGTGTCGAGCCCCACGTAAACCCAAACCACACCACAAACGGGCCACGTGTTGAGTAGCCCTGCTCTAGGTAAACCACCTCCACTAGGGTCATAGCTAACAGCATGGCTCCCAGCGCTGTAGCTCCGTTTACAGAGGTGCTTTACAGTGCTGTAACTTGCTGTGCTGGAGTGGGGGAGGGAATAGGTGTTTTCTCACACCCCTGATCCAGACAGTTGCAATGCAGTAAAATTCAAGTGTAAACTTAGTCTTAGACACTCTATCAAAAATATTTTTGTCTAAATTTAGAAAAACATTTGTGTTTCTGAAGCTAGAAAGTGTTGTGTGTAAGTCTTTTGCTTTTGTAATTGTAGGGGAACTGGTAGGCCATACAGAAAGGGTTTCTGGTTTCACGTTTTGTCACTATCCTGGTGAAAGCAACTTCTGTGCCAGCAGCTCTGATGACGGAACTGTGAAAATCTGGGATACGCAGAAGCTGACTCTTGTGACTGAGCATACACTGCATCAGGTATAGTAGCCAACCACTGTGCCTGTGAAAAAAATCTCTAAAACAAGGTTCCAAAATCTTTTCTTAGGTCAAGACAGAGTTGCACTAATTTCTCAATGCCAGTCAAATCGCTAGAAACCAAAAGAGATCCATGGTCCAATTTGCAAACTGAAACTGTAGAATAGATCTTTGAAAGCTGCATTTGTTTAAAAACTCATTTAAGTGACCTAATTTGCCTTTCTTATTGGAAATAGCAGAGGCACTGTATGTTTTGCTGTACAGGCAGTCCCCGACTTACGCAGATCCGACTCGCACTTACGAACGGGGCTTTCTCGCCCCGGAGGTCGAGGTGGCGGATTGCTACCTGCGAGCTCCGGGGCGAGAGAGCCCCGTTC